TATGATTTTGAGAACAGCGATCGGATACCCACAAGTACACCAACTACCAATGAAATGGTTGCTCTGCCACATATGTCCTCAAACACGTTGGAAACATTGAATAACTCTCCAAGCTCAAGCAATTTAGAAAGAAGAAATGAGGACACTTATTATTTCACAGAGTATCCAGATACATCTAGTAGGTCTACAGATATGCATGTTGACTTTGCACATGATGCCCAGAATACTGGACAAGTTTTGAAATCTGAGCAACATATCACAAATGGGGACATAATTAATACATCCGGATCTGCACAAAGTCACTTGGATAATGGAAATGAAATTACCATGGAACATTCTAGTCTGTACAATGATAACAAATATACAATTGCTTCTGACAAAACTGTATCTGACGACAAGGTTGTTTCAGCCTCTAAAGTTATTGAGAAAAAGATGCCTTTTGAGTCTAGAAAAAAGTAAGTGGAAATTGGGAATTTTAAATTATAAGTATTATTTTTTTTATTAATGTGTTCGTATCCAGGGTGCTCCAACTCGTGAAAATAATGATATTGAACCAAACGTGTTTTAGTAAAACGTTCCTAGTTGCTGAGATATAGAAGTTTATCCAAGATATTTTTTCTCAGCTTATATATTTTTGGGTACAATTTCTACTTCACCTGAACATAACACTGCCAAATCACAAACATCAACTCTTGAGCAAATCAGAGCCTACAATGATATTCACTTATCAGTTAGCGAGATTGACAGTCAGATAAACGAAAACGAACATAGTCAGGCACACATATTAAATATAGGTCAACAGCCAGCATCAAACGACGATATTGAGAAAAGCCTCGGTAATATCCTGACACTACCTTCAGACGATAGGGAGTATGATAATATATGCGAAGTGACAAACACTGATCCTGAAGCAATTGTAGAACTTATTACTGAAAGTGACAAGGAAATCAACACGCGAAAAAGAATCAGTGAAACGTGGTGACAAAATGGAAGTCTGTCCTGTTGCATCACAATTCAAGGATAAATCATCGATACGTGAAGCAAGTAAGTCTACTGTGATACCAGAAGAAAATTTTCAAAAGAGGCAAAGCATCAGAAGTAGCGATAAATATAATTTTGAGAACAGCGATCGGATACCCACAAGTACACCAACTACCAATGAAATCTAATCTACTGTCAAGTATTTTTTTAACACTTCTTCGACTAGTTGCACTCGCCTTTGAAACCTACATCTATCTGCCATCTCCCCGTTACTTCTTCGAGCTTCTCTATATGCATATTGCCATGCATACATGATATGTACTTTGTTTTTTGTTTCGTTGAAGGATACGGTCTTTGGAATAATAATAATAATTATAATAATAATTATTTATTGGTACTATTACACAAAAATGTGTTTGTACAGGTCATTTAAAGTAGAACATAAAAGAGTAAGTAAAAGTAACAAACAATACGAAAATAAGACAAACGTATAACACAAAGTGGCAATAAAAGGTAAAAAAACTTGATAAAACTATTTTAAAATTTAGAGGAACAATAAAATAAGATGGTTAAAAAATTATGAAATACTAATCATTTTTTCATGTTTGTACTCAAAAGTCCTTACACACGTCTGGAGAACGATAAAATATAATACAAAAATAACACATTAAAAAAAAACACAAACGAAAACAAAGTAATAAATAGTCAACAATTATGGAACAAAGTCGGTAAATCATTATTTAAAAACTCATCTATGCTGTAAAAAGCTTTCGTCACTAGATATCTTTTCACAGTTGCTTTAAAAATGGTTGAGTTGAGTGTTTGACAAAACTTGGGCAGCGCATTAAAAAATTTCACACCGAAATAATTACTTCCGTGTCTAGTTTTTGAAAGTCTTGTGTACTCTGGTATTAATTCATTGTTGAACCTTGTGTTATATTTGTGAATCTCTTTCGGAGTTCTGTAATCATCGTAATTATTTTTAACGTGGATCAGACATTCCAGTATATATATGCATGGCACAGTTAAAATTTTTAGGTCGATAAATGTCGTCTTGCAACACTGTCTGAAATATAAGTTTGCTATTATTCTCAAGCATCGTCTCTGAACAGCAAACACCTTCGATACATGACATGAATGTCCCCAAATCAGTATGCAGTATTGCAAGTTAGATTGGAAGTAAGCATAATAGGCTGTCATTAAAGTCGATTTTGTTACGTAGGTATTTAAACTACGTATCATATATGTTATTTTAGATAACTTCTTTGATAAAGAAGTGATGTGTGATTCCCAAGTTAAGCTTGCATCAATAATCACTCCAAGAAATTTCACGGGCTCTACTAAATCACTTCTATGTGGACGAGTACTGAGTAGAAGAGATTGAGTTTTCGCTATGTTGATTGACAAACTGTTGGCATTAAACCAGTTTTGAATGTTGTCAAAATGCTGCTGAGAATCGAGCAATACATGATCAAAGTTACTATTGGAGGATATTGATGTCGTGTCATCCGCAAATAATATATACTGATTGATGCTACAGTTTGGCAGATCATTGATGTAGATCAAAAAAAGAATCGGTCCCAAGACACTTCCTTGGGGAACTCCGTGCTTAATATGCACATTGTTGGATAAACAATTTTGAAAACTAACATACTGTCTTCTATCTGATAAATAAGACGCAATTAAGGACAGGCTATTATTACTAAAACCATACAGCGACAACTTTTGAATCAAAATGTGATGTTGGACACAATCAAATGCTTTTGTAAGATCATAGAAGTTAGCGAGGGCAAACATGTTATCTTCCAGACATTTGTTGATGAAACTGATAAAATTGTTTATTGCTGCTTTCGTTGATCTGTTGGTACGGTATCCAAACTGGTTGTTACAGAATAAATTGTTACCTTCGAAGTATTCACATATCTGATTCTTCAGAAGAATTTCGAAAATTTTTGCTATAATTGGTATTATAGAGATGGGTCTGAAATTACATGGATCATTCTCACAGCCTTTCTTGAAGAGTGGCACAATCTTTGCAAGTTTTAATAAGGCAGGAAAGACATTATTTTCTATACACATGTTTATCAATTTTGTTATAGGATATACTAACAAGTTATTTAAGGTCTTCATAATTTTAACATCGATGTCATATGGATCTTTACTTTTAGAATTCTTTAAGCTTTTGATTGCGTCTCGAACATCATTGAATGAAACAGTTCGAAAGTTGAAATGTAGTGTATCACTAGTCTGTATAAAATCTTTGAAGTTCGACTGGGTAGCTGGAATTTCAGCGATAATGGTATCAGCAATGCTGACGAAGAAAGAGTTTAAATCATTCGCGCTGAGAGTAGACGAATGTGCTTTTGATGATTGCACACCATTGGATTTAATCACGTTCCACATAGCTGCTTGTTTATCTGACGCTCTACGTATATATTTATCATGAGCATTTTTTTTCCTAATTCTGATTTCTGATCGGTACTTTGATTTGAAGACATTAATCTCCTTCTTTGATACTACTTGGGGATTATCTTTATTAATTTGTGTTATTAGTTCCAAAGTCTCTCTCATATGAGCCAATTCGTGATCAAACCAGTTGATTTTGTTGCGACAACCCTCTGATACTAACCTAGATTTGATTGGTAAGCACTCAGCGATATTATTTGTTAAGATGTTCATGAATCGTTCGAGTTTAGTGGTCAGTGGTAAACTAATATCAGACAAAAAGATCCAGTCGACTGTTTCAATTTTACTGTATAACTTGAAAAGACCTTCATCAGTGACAGGCCTGTAGTTTATTCTCTTCCTAACAGGTTTTAGAGTTTTCAAATTAAAATGAAATGCAATACCTAAATGGTCAGAAAAACATGTATCAAAGGCCTCTACAACTATGCTTGACATGTTTATATTGGTGAAAATATTATCTAGACAAGCATTCTGCCTAGTATTCACATTCACAGTCTGATACAGTCCAAAAGAAACACAAATATCACACATCACATTGGCATGCTTGTCGTGAGTGTTAAATTTAAAATTAAAATCACCAGATATGATTATATTTTGCTTATAGTCTAAAGTACTAAGTAGTATTTGAAGCTTATTATAGAATATATTGAAGTCTCCATTTGGTGATCTATATATGGTTAGAATTTGTGTGCCATCCAAACAGGTGACACCAGCAACCTCAAAGTGTAACTCCTCAGAAATGTTTAAAACTTTGTCACACAAAGGCTTAGCACTAAACTTATTATTGACATAAATACAAACACCACCGTGGATTTTGCTTGACCTGCAAAAACTAGACACATTCATATATTCACAAATATTCAGAGTATTAATCTCATCGCAAGTCAACCAATGCTCATTCAAACAAAGAAAGTCATAACTGTGCTGTTTTGCCACCAACTCAAGTTCATCAACCTTGTTTCTCAAACACTGTACGTTTAAATGTAAAAGTTTATACCGACAATCATTCGTGCGCACTTCACAGACGCGAGCGTGTGATAAGGAATTTTTCGATACATTCTGTTTACCCGAATCATGTCGTACTAGGTGATTAGTATCGGATTCCCACTGGCCAGTAAAAAAGCACCAGTACTCTCACTGTTGCAATGCACTCGACGTTCCATTTTATAAATTGGAATTATTGGAGGCGATAACAAAACGTTTCTTTTGAGGGTAGAGCAGCTCGTCTGCACATGACTTCTTATGATGTTTGCCAGTGATTTGCGAAAACCATTCTTTGCTACTAATAACTTCACTGAACAGTTAGGGTTATTTTTAATATAACTAGTTATTTTGTTTTCCAATAGAACTGCTAAGGCTTCATCTACAGGCTCGGACTTTAGAAGAATTACTAGATTTGTAAATTTACCCAGTGGTAATACATTTCTAAGAAAACTGTTCAATGTTTTGTGGTTGCTTATGTTTTTTGTGCTGAAAACAATAATTACATAGTCACTTTGTCCATGATCCATAGTTTGAGTGAAAATATTACTTGTGATATTTGCAGCCTCTGTGTTGGGCTTAACAATTCCTTCAACTATATAGCCTATGCTCTTCATTGAATTATGTAAGACTCTAGCGCAATTTCTTACTTATATGTTCACCTTCATTGCACATGTTACTTTTGCTGGTGCACTTTTTAGTCACCCCACTACTTTTTCCTTCTACCAACATTGTCTCCACTCTCTTAAACCTTGCTTCCGTTTGCCAACTTTACCTCCACCCTCTGAAACCCTGCTTCCTTCACTGCTGCACCTGTCGTAATCTCCTTCTCTCCTGTATAATCCATCTTAGTCTCGCACCACGACCCATGCCTGGAGGTATACTTCTCTGCATGGGCACCTGAATCAACTGATCCGAATTAGAACCTGCTTCATCATCCCAATTCTCTTCCACTGCCACTTCCGGCGACGGATTCCTGACTCCATATCGGCTAACCGGTGTGGTGTCCATGGGTGTTCGGGACCCAGATGGAGGATGCTGCGGTGTGGTGTTCATAGGTGTTCTGGACTCAGATGGTTGATGCGGCGGTGTGGTGTCCATATGCGTTGGGTCGTCCCAATTTTCTTCTTCAGGATGTATTCTGTTGAATGGGCGTATAACCGCCACCGGCTTCCCCTCCCACACCGTCGGCAACTTAAATGTTTGTCTTGCACTCATTGTTTTATTCGTGCTGTCTGCTAACAACTGCCTCCTCTCCGAGCGCTGCACTAATTTAAACACATATTTCCAGGGTCATACCGTCTACCACTCACGACTTCAAGGTCACATTTCAAGGTCATATTTCAAGGTTATATTTCAAGGCCATATTTCGATTCAAGGTCGCATTTCAAGGCTATATTTCAAGGTTGCATTTCAAGGTCATATTTCAAGGCCATGTTTCAAGGTTACATTTCAAGGTCACATTTCGAGGTTAAATATGCGTTCAAGGTTGGCTCCCAAGGTCGACTCTCAAGGGCGTTCTAGAACATACAAACCCTACCTACTGTCGGTCTTAGATAATTTTTTTGTGATGGGTTAGACATGAGCGCATTTCCAGTTTTCTGGGAAGGTGCCAGACTCATAAGAGTATCTGGAAGAGACGCGAAAGAATTGGAGCTAGCTCCGCTGCACACCTCTCCAGTACAACGGCAGGAATCAAGGCCGGTCCAGAAGCTTTGTTGATGTCGAGCGACAAGAGCACTCGCCTTACGGTCTTATACCTGAATGTTACTTTCCGCATAGTGTAGGGAACCCTTTGAATTGACGACACTTGGGCGTTGAAGGGGACGTCCAAGGTGGAGTTGGCAGCAAAGATATTGGCAAGGACTTCCGCCTTGGCGTTTGAGTCTGATACAATCGTTCCATCCTGAAACGTAAGTGGTAGAAGGCTGCCGTGTGAGAGTTTCTTTTCAATCTGCTTGGCACTTTCCCTGTATGAGGGATATATTCCTCCATTCCGACGTGGATAATTTCGGTTATCGAAGAACAGACAGCCGAGGCATCCGCGTCAGTGAAACAGACATCTTTCCAAGGAAAGCTAGAGAAAAAATCTCTGAGACCCTCCCAGTCGGCATGTCCGTAATGCCAAGTTTTGCGGCCTGTACGAGTTTCTGCTGCCACAGGGGGTTCTGACCGAAACCTAACCTCAACAACACCGTGGTCTGGGTTACCCAGGGGGGACAGGACAGCAGTGCTGTAAGGGGCAGGATGCGTGGTCAGAAAGAGATCCAGCAGGCTACTGGCGTGTGACGAGAGGCGGGGGAAAAAAGTAGGACTCGTCGCCAGCTGAGTCAACCCTTGGGTAACAGCGAACGCTTCGACTGCACGACCTACTGCGTCGGTCTTTTTTGAGCCCAACCAAAGCTCGTTATCCCAGTTATGGTCCGAGGGAGAGCGATAAAGGCAGCAAATAAACTTGGGTGATGTTTTGGAGTTGAGGCAGGAAAGACTGCTGTGGACAAAAACCACAATTCCCCCGTTCTTTCTCAGATTGGAGTGCACCTCGTAGTTTAGGAAGTTAAGATGGTTAATCGGTGCCGACTCTGAGATTTTGGTCTCCGCCAAGAAAAGCACAGCGGGACGATTGGATTGCAGGTAGTGATGAACAGCATCAATGTTGCTATTAATCCCGCAGATGTTAGAAAAACAAATTTTACCTTCGATGTTGTTCCCTCGAGCCCACCCTCCACCCGGACATTCCGAAAGTGGAGTGAATTTACGTCCGGAGTTCTTAGTGCTCGAGGGATCCATCATCATTAATTTCTTTGTTTTGGAGGATAACCGACTGCATAGCTTAGGTGTGGAAACATGCGGACATTTATAAGGCCCCTCTAAAAGCTAGCGGGTGGTACTGCCTCGGTCGACTGGTCCTTGTCTACCACCTTCTTTTTGCGTGTTAATGATATTAAATAGACCTAATGTGGCCCGTTGGCGGACTTGTACCGCCACCCGGCAATCGGTACTGAGGTATTCCTTAACGCGTGGACAATCACTTGAACGGGAAGAAGTTGTATACTGGATACAACAACTTCGGGAACAAGCATTTGCCAAGGCCCCCACTCAGTAGGGAATAGTAAGAGCGAACGCTTCAACTGCTGCATCGGCCTTGTTTAAGCCCAACCAAAGCAAATTATGGTCATTGGAACCACCGAGGAGAACTACCTCTGAAGCGTGGTGATCGATGTTCAGGAAGTCAATCTTGACGGCGAGGTATTCAAGAAGGTCATCCCAGTTATGGTCCAGGGGAGAGCGATAAAGTCAGCACATACTTTTGGGGTCTGATTCCAAAGAAACGTCTCTGGAACAGGAAAGGTTGCTGCGGACAAAAGCCACAACTCCCCCGTTCTTTCTCAGATTGGAGTGCACCTCGTAGTTTCAGAAGCTAAGATGGTTAATCGGTGCGGACTGAGGTTTTTGCCTCCGCCAAGAAAGGCATGGCGGGACGACTGGATTGCAAGTAGTGATGTACAGCATCAATGTTGCTGTTAATCCCACAGAGGTTCGCGAAACAAATTTTATCTTCGATGTTCCCTCGAGTCCACCCTCCACCCGTCCATTCCGAGAAGGAAGTGAGTTTACATCCGGAATTCTTAGTACTCCACTGTCGTGTGACAGCAGAACCTAGTAAGTCGACTTACTAGGTTTTACATTTTTACGTCATTTTTGAAAAGCCCGTAAAAAGTTCTACTAGTTGAATTTTTTTCTCTCGCTCAGACGCACTCTAAATCGTATATCTTTGTCTCATGTTTCCTAGTAAGTCATCAGAACAGCATTTAAAAAATCAACAAATGATGGCATGTCTACATGCTACGTTTTGAAGATTTTTTTTTGTAGGAAATTTGGCGGGAGACTCCGTCGTAAACGCACTTGCTAGTTTTTGCTAAATTTTCATGCCATGATTTCAAGCCGATTGAGTGTAGGCACGGATGCATGCTACAGCGTTTCCGCAGTCATGTTCCAACTGGCATAGAGTGTGGATCGGTGAGGACAGTCGCGAATTAGTTTAACGTTAGTACTGTAGTTAATATCCAGAATATGTCGAGAGGAAAATTCATAACGAGTTTATGCATTACAGAGAGGTGAGTGCAAGCATCATACATTACATATAAGCCAAATGAAATATTAACTCAGGAGTAACATTGCAGTTTGATGTTTTTTTTTTCAGTAAAATAAAAGATTATAATTACTACAAACAAAAAGCTAATTCTTGCAATACGGTTTTCGTATTTGAAATATACATTCAAACCGCTGACCTCTATTTATTTTATCTTTCAGAAATGAACCTCTCGAAGAGCGTCAGCAACATGATGAAGAACCTATATCAGATTATGACGATTCTGATGCAGACCCAAATTATGAGCCGTCAGTATCCCCTAGAAGGAAAAAAATTAAATTTTCGGACTTTGATGACGTATCGCTTGCGCCCCTCAAAAACAGGCAGCCTTTGAAAAAAGTCAACGAGAATGTGAATGCAAACTGCAGAGTTTCCCAAGAAAGGCCAGACAAGCAAGAAAAGCACCCCCTACTGCTATCATGCCATAATAATTGCAGGCAGAAATGTAGCTCAAAAATCAATGATGAGAACTTTAGAGAATTGATAAGAACGAAATTCTGGAGACTCAGCTTTGGCGAGCGTAGACTTTTTTGGATGCTCATATCAAACAATTTGAAATCAAAGTAAGGCGGCAAGAGGCTCAGCGTTCTTCCAGGAATGTTTCTCTGAAATATTTTCTACCCCTTCCAGTGGAAACTGAAGCTAAATTTGAAAAAATACAAGTGTGCAAAACAATGTTTTTGCATACTTTAGGACTTAAAACAGATGGTATGATAACTTGCCATATACATTCCAAAAAGCGAAGTGTAGAAGGAATTGCACAAACAGTGGATGAAAGGGGGTTAGTTATTAGAGGCATGCTAGAAGAACAAAAAATGAGAACAGAGGAAATTGTCATAAAGCATATAAACTCATTCAATCCGGTAGTATCTCACTATAATTTAAAGCACACCCCGAATAGACGATTCTTGCCACCTGACTTGACCATTAAATACATGTGGCAAGACTTCTGTAATCTACAGAAAATTTCATATGATCTATACAGAAGAATTTTTGAAAAACAGAATATTGGGTTTAAAAAGCCATCCCAAGACGAATGCGCTCAGTGTCTAAAACATAAAGTTCACATTATTCGCCAATGCGACGCAAGTAGTTGCAAGATTTGTTGTCAATTCGAAAACCACAAGAAAAGTTATACGGAAGCAAGACAGCACTATGAAAATGACTCCAATCAAGAGGTAATGCAAGATGAGAAGGTCTATGCTGTAGATATGCAGAAAGTCTTACTCTTGCCCTAAATGTCAACCAAGGAATCTTTTTTTGTTTCAAGGTACTTCGTTTATAACTATATATAATTGTATTAAACTTTTATATACTTCTATATTTGTTGTTGCAGGTTGGTCGTATTCAATGAGACGTTTGCGTCACTTCATAAGGACGGAAATATTTGCGTGATGTGGCATGAGGCTATAAGAGGCAGGTCCGCGACGGATGTTGCATCGGCATACTACAACGGAATAAAAAATTCAGACAATGTTACCAAAAAATTTACATTCTGGGTAGACAACTGTTCTGCTCAGAACAAGAATTGGACACTATATTCTGCTTTTGCGACTTTTGTAAATTGTGAATGGGGTCC